ATTTGTAGTGGTCTGGCCACCCAATAAGTTAGTTTATCAGGAGTGTGTGGCAAAGTTATAAAAATGATTACGCTTGGTTTGGTATACAAAAATAAAGAGACCAGACGGAACAGACCCACCAACAATTGTTCTCTTTAGAATAGTTCGTCGTTGGCCCAGGTCAGATGGAACAATCTCACTAATAATTGTTCTCTGTAAAATAGTTCGCCGTTGGCCCAGGTCAGCGAATAAACAATAATGCAATTATGGTGGTCCAGTGGTCTTCTTCCGAAGAGTTCTCACATATAATAGATTTCGATGATGGCGTGAAATGTTTTCGTACCAGAGTTAGTACATGAGACTCGCGAATGACCGCTGCAAGCGCGAGCGAAATCAGAAGAGAGAGTTGAAGCACGTGACCACACTTGTATTATGTGAAATCGTACAAGTGCGCGTTTTTGTAGCTTTTCGTATCCAAACCAAAAACGATTATGCAATTGATGAAATGCGTAGTGTTATAATGGAAGTAAAATAAAGTTATAAAACGCCACATCATCAACCGTGTGTGGAACTCCAGTGCATAATGTCGCTCGCCGTACACCGAATGAAATCCATTTCTTGAAAGCTACGAGGTTTTAAAGTTTGCAGTTTATTGTCCAGAATGTCTACGTGTAAGGCATTTTTCTGCAACCTCTCTGTGGCTGATTTGTTTGAGTGAGCTAATCTTCAAGGTCATTGATCAACACAAATTCAAGAACGGTGCTTAATGAAATGGGATATCACTAATTCCGACGAAAGATAGATTGCATATAGCGGACGACATCTGCGGTTATTTCTGCAGCCCAAATAGTTCACTTAACTTGTTACAGCCTAAATTGTGCCCATGGACACAAGATATGTGAAAGTAACACTCCTGTATTACATGTTGAACAATTCTTGCTGTAGGTTTATGTGTCCTGAGTGATGAATATCATGCCACATTCATCGGCTACAAACTGCCGCACTTCATGCGACGGTATTGCATACTTCAGCAGGGCCCAGGAGGTGCTCAACTCCCCTTCTGTTAGCCGCCGGTTTACAGAACCTTAACCGCATAAAAACTTGAAAAACTTTTCATTGTTTTAAGATAGCAGGATTTGACTGTCTCCTTGAACAAAAAATATAGGACATCCGGTGCCTAGCGTATTGCTCGTTATCAGTAGTTTGTTCGAATTACTCGGCTTTCCTTCGATCTTCCCGGGCGCCTGCCGCGTTTGTAGTAAAACAGCTTCGGTGCTTTGGTTACCCGATGCACGCACAAATGCCACATAATTGTGCTTCGTGTATTCTTTCGACGCCTTGTCACACGCTATGGAGAATGAAACTGAATAGTCAGCCACCAATTGCCAAATCTGAAGCCATAGCGCTGCATGTGCATGGTGTGGCTAATCAATAAGGAGATTAATTAAAGCAAATTGCAACAAAAATGCGACAGATTTGGCTACTTTTCGGCTTGACCACACATAAAGCAAAATGAATTATCTGTACGTAAGTCTTTATTCGAACCAAAAAGGTTCTGGAGTATGGACCAGCTGGCGGCTCAGGACCGGAGTGGGTGCTGATCGAAGCCGCCCAGGCTAGAAATGCTTTAGCTTGTCGAGATAGTTTAGTGACTCGGACTCACTCAGTCGCAGCAAAATTTTCAGCGGAAAACAGTCAGTAGAAAAAAATGCGGCAAATATGACGAACACAAGACAGGCCACTGCGTTTGAAACTGGCCGGTTTTTTATTTTGTGCCAATTACTCACCGGATCCAAGGCTCTTGTTTAGTTTGGCGGCCAAGGCTTGTGCCGATAATTCGAGGACCATTTTTGTGCGAACAGACCCTAGAACCACCATGGTTGGAGTGTGCGCCAACTCTGAATCAACTCCTGCAGATATTCAACTCATGAGGTTTGTTCCCCTTTTATCCATGGGGAAAATTATGATCCCTTAAACCGCGTTGGGCAGCTAATCTGCCATTAATAGACCGTTTGTGTCACAAGTTTATTTCATTAGATTACGTCAGCCAAAGCCGAGGATGTCAATTGTATCATTTTGAATGAGCTTACTTTAGCCTCCGGTTTTATTATTCTGCTTCAAACGGATGCTAGAGTGTTTGTTGCTTTGGCGCAGTAACTTTAGATCAGCAACCAGCAGGCTTCATGTAATAGGTCGAATTATTTCTCAGGGGCTTTCATTGTAACAACCAGTTGTATGTCGGTCTTCAAGGCACTTGAGTGGTGCACTGTGGTCACGCAGGTAATCGGCCCTGAGTGTTCCGGTCTTCATACCCTCAATGTGTCCTTCTGTCTTTCTCACTTTCATTCCATCGATACCTGTCAGTCCAGCGTTGTCCTAAAAGACCTTGTGAATTTGCTCAAAAACCCATAAAAATCTAACGCAGTTTTTCAGCAAAGATCCAATGAAACTCCGAAATTCTCCAGAGAATGGTGTATATTGATTTAAACCTCTTGCCGGAAAATTTCCAGCCTTGTGAAAATATCTTAAGGTAGAAAAAAGACCAAAGTCGATGGTATCCAGCTAGTGAAGTTTTAAATTTTCTCGTTGATATTCGCCGAAAGGAAGTCATGGGCATGCTTTGTGAATATAAGCCCTCAGAAAACTTCTTGGCTGACTGAAGTTTACTTCAAAAAATTCGATTCAGACGTATGAGGCTTTGTTGCACATTTGTCGTAATTAGAACAACGTAGATAATAGCCTACTTCAGAGTCATTCCTTGAGCTAAGTGCTTTGAAAACGCCATTGTTGTCAGGGTTGAAAGACGCTGGAGACTACGTAAATATATTAGTAGCAAAAGTGCGTTTTTTACGGACGGACGGTGCTCGGTTATCCATTGCAAACGCTTCTTTGTGATTGAACGAGACATTACCATTTCGAGGTCGGTGGGAACATATGTCCCTGCGTTCATCCTTCTACAGGGGAGGCTCTGTGTAATATATTTGGCCGGGCAAAAGAAAGATGTTTCATGATTTCGTTGGGTCGTTTGCAGCTGGTTTTGCGCTGTGGTTTGCATATTTCTTGAGTTATTCGTTGGATTTCCCATCTATTGTAGGCTCGACGGCAGATCTTATCAGACCGTCCTTTGTCTGCGTTCCATTATCTTGTGATTCGATAATTCAATAAACTTTTCCAATACGGTGGTGGTGGCGTACAAAACTGGTGTGCTGTTTAGAAGGAGGGAATCCAAGACGGCTGGTGGCTGGGTTTAAAAGCATTTGAATGAGCAAGACGAAGAAAGATTATGGGAGTGATATTTGCACCGTGGAACCCGGAGTGTCACGGTATATATGAGCATGTAAATCGCAGGGCGACCGCATTTGGCCTCATGTAATGTGCCGGCCGGATGATGATTTCAGGGACATTCAAGTCCAGGAAACCATCAACAGCTGAGGGAGCATAGGGGGAACCTGTGTAAAGTCGGCACTTTTGTCCATGAAGTCAGCATCGTGATTGTGGATGCAGTCAACCAGATATCCCCCTGTAAAAATTGCTGGATTTAACCCATAGGTTAGAAAACAATGATTAGCTTGGGTAAACAGATAGATGAATTGGTCAGTCTGGAAAGGGGAGGTATCGCTTAGGCGTATAATAGCAGGGTTTCGCTCAGAAGGCAGAGAGCCGTGAGGATGAGATTCGGCCGTACGAGTGGTTATAACGATTCCATTGGAAGTGAGGTTGCGGTTATAGGCATGAAAATAGGGACGATGGTGTTGGGATGGTTGACCATCTGGTCGTAGGGGCATGCTGGAATTGGGCAACACTGCTCTATTTGAGCGGAAACGGGCGATAAAATTGAAGGAGGAGGGTTTCTGACCGTTTGTGGCTGTAGTCGTGACGCTCTGTGTACTTTTAACTCTTGTTGAGATGGAGTGTTTCATTAATCTATAGGGAGTACTTTATGCTCGCTAGGTTACAACGGGAGATATGGGCAGATGGACGGCGTACAGATAACATTTGTGGTAAGAAGATGCGCTCTAGCGGTTGCTCTGTTGGAATTGGTGTAATGGGTAACATGGAACATTCAATTTGGGCTTCCGTGGACTTGAGGGCAAGGTTATTTTCTGTGGCTAAGGTAAATATGCTGCGAGATTGGCGGGCGGTAGAAGAGTCATTTCCGAAGTAGTAGAAGCCTCATGTGAAACCAATGTGTAGAGAGGTCACTGGGAGCGAGAACATGGCCTCCTTCCTATTCGCTAATAGTTTTCGGGGGTGGAAAAATGCTTTCACAACAGTAATCATGGCCCTGAGTGAAAGACCGCCTCCTGCCTCTAGCATTTTCCAAGTGGTGTTCCCGGAGCTTGCGAGGCGGTTTGGAGGAAATATTTACGCAAACCACCACATACGAAACTGGTTTAGTTTTTTGCTCGCGCAAATTTGGCACCAAAATACTTTGCGTACAACCCATATTTGAAGGTCAGATGTATGAAATTTTTTACTTAAGTACAAGCTGTGAAAAAACTAAGTCTGGTTGCGCTCCATTTCAGCTACGCTTCCACCTATTCATTGTTTTGGGTTATAGTATGACAGGCTTCTCGTGGCCAGAGCCATCTGTAGTCGATACCCGGAGCGGACAAAAGGATGTCCATAAAGTGTAAAATGTGGAATACAACTACACGCCCCCAGCGCCTGTTGGCATTTTAGGCGTATTAGTTTGCAAAATGCCAAAATAAACGAATTACACAACTCTTCCCCCTACTTCGTCTGTGTCACTTGCCTCTACCTCAGGGTGCTGTGCATTCCACAAATAACCAGACTTTTATCGACAGTTTTCCTTCCTAAGTTGAATACACAGAGCAAATACTCCATTTTAATAGGGACACTGGAGAAAAAATGGCATTCGTTTGGAAGATGTTGAATGATTCAAACGCAAAAAATGTAGCAGCCTGGACCAAAGCTGACACTAAGCGTTACTCCCTGAATGGATACATCCCAGTACATTTGGCCGCGAAGAAAGCGATCAAGCTCACTGATGACTCAGTAGATACCACTACGGGGTCGTTAGCGAAGAGACGCATGAAAGGGCACCTAATGATCGTTTAGGAGCAGATTTTCAGAACCACCGCCCGGAAGGAAGTGGCAAGATTGCTTGTTGATGGTATCCTTACTAAATCTGTACGCAAAGTGGTTTTTTGGAAAGGACGGCAAGCGATCTTTCTAACCTTTGGTCACACTATCATCCAAAAGCCTTAAGGAGGACGTTGGGGCAGCTTATCAGAATTGATAAAGCCTTCCTTATTATAGGCGTATATCCGACAGCCGATCCCTAAGGTGGGGAGACAAGGTTATTCTTCTCGACAGGTATGCAGATTCTAATGTTATAAACAACCCGACGGTAGTTTTTCTTCAAAGAGCAACTGAACAAGGCGGTTGCGACTACAATTTTTAGCCTCTGCTCAATTGCGGCAGACCCATTGACCGCCAAACACAATGATGCTTGAGGTGGGGCACGCCTCGTGAGGACAGAGCAACTAGAACATATGGCACTATCTTCGCTTATTTCCCCAGCGGAAGATGAAGGCGCAGCTTTTAACTTTAAGTCATAAGGCCTGAGCTGGAATGGGTCAGCTCTAAGGAAACAACTCGAGAAGCTTAGTCGTAAATCAGCCATAAGCGTTGACTTTGACCCTGGGGGTATTGCGGAGACCATACAACCGTTGGCCGGTTAGTCAGAAAAAAGCCAGCGCTGTAGATCTCGCTTGACATGGCAGCCGAAGTAAACACAGTTACGAGGTGCTGTTCTGAACATGCCAAGCCACCAACCCCTGGGTGCCGCTCCGTCAAAATCGGCCAGTCTCATCATGAATTCATTTATCACAAGTAACCAAAGTCCCATATTTGATAACCCTGAACCTCAAAGTCCGACGTACAGGAGCTGGTTATACCGAATACGGAAGTCCTGAAATTCCGTACAAACATAAGCGTAACGCAAGTGCGGTCTAATAAGCCATATAAATTTCGCCCAGTTGGCAGGCGCTTGATGAATTCAAAATTCAGTCACCTGTAAAAGCACTTGGGTGCATTGAGAGCAATACTCATCAGTGGTTTGGTCCAACGCAAAAGGGAACCGACTGGATATCGATCAGACACCTTGACGGCAAAACTGAGTTCAGGAGCTCAAGAAAAAACACTGTTCTGAACATGCCAAGCCACCAACCCCTGGGTGCCGCTCCGTCAAAATCGGCCAGTCTCATCATGAATTCATTTATCACAAGTAACCAAAGTCCCATATTTGATAACCCTGAACCTCAAAGTCCGACGTACAGGAGCTGGTTATACCGAATACGGAAGTCCTGAAATTCCGTACAAACATAAGCGTAACGCAAGTGCGGTCTAATAAGCCATATAAATTTCGCCCAGTTGGCAGGCGCTTGATGAATTCAAAATTCAGTCACCTGTAAAAGCACTTGGGTGCATTGAGAGCAATACTCATCAGTGGTTTGGTCCAACGCAAAAGGGAACCGACTGGATATCGATCAGACACCTTGACGGCAAAACTGAGTTCAGGAGCTCAAGAAAAAACAGAAGCATGTTCACGTCCAGTCTTTGAACAGCAGGCGCAGTACAAAGTTCAAAATATTCGACATTGGGGGACAGCTCACTTCAGGAACAAATGATCCACGTCAACCGGACTCTGAGGGTAGAGCTAGCGCATATTTGATGGGGAGGTGTCGGAAACGCCGGGACAGGAGGCACACAAGCGTGCCATGTGCCCTCGTGGGAATCCTTTCAGACAGACCCGAAGTAGAGCGGTTAAATCTACCGAGATCGGGGACGATAAATTTTGACCGATTGAAGCAGTTGATCCAGGATCACAAGTCTGTCGCTCCACAGGCAACAATCCTACATGATTCAACAAGAAATTCTACCTCGAATCACGGTGTTGTTGTAAAACGCTCTGAGTGAAAGCCGGCCAAAAATATTATACCACCTCGCCTGTCTCTATTGGAGCTCCACAAGGATCCGTCTAATAACACCTCGTTTTTCGCATCTACGCAAATGACCTTCCGAATGCGCATTCGCGTCTTCTTCTGGCTGACGGCATGAAATTTCGGAGTGTGAAAAGTCAGCCTTTTCTGAATGAAACTAAAGACCTCACGACGGGGGTCAGTCGACTTGCATCTACCTCGATAGGTAGTTCTGAAGAGAATCGTAGAGTCACGCATGGCGAGAACGGCGAAGTGCATACTATGAAGACAGATACCAAAATGGATTTAAGCACGTGGCTGCTGTCGGGTACGTCCGTCTCATTCAACTGTTGTGCATCTACAACTACTCCATGGGGGTCTACCTCAGGTCGGTGCATGGATCCGCCAACCAAGTTGTCCACTCAAAACGCAAAAAATGCGCGGTACACACTGAAAGTCTCCAGAAGGCTGCTAAGTAGCCATCTACGAACTCAAATCCGTTGATTATAGAGTGCTTTGTCAAATTGTTCACTCTTTTCCCTGGTTCATCGTTACATCCGAGGGGACTCTACACTTGTGCCTCGCACAAACAAAGTTGAACCGATGAATTTTTCACCACTTTCTCCGCAATTACTGGGCAGGGACTCGGTTAAATAATTTCCAAAATTGGAGGGTGAACGTTCATTATAATGGATTTCCTCATTTCGGGAAGGTGGTGTGTGGAATAACTTACTTCAAACAGTTGATCATGCTGCATGTAAATCGTAATGCGTAATTTTTATATGATACCACGTTTTGGCAAGATCAGTGCGAAGCACTGAGAAACTAAGCAGCAGTTTTGTGCTGTTTCTCTTGATCGTTCCCTATGAGTGATCAGAGCCTACTGAACAACGTGAAGGAATCCGAATCTTGAAGTTTGATCAAAAGCTTTCATACTGTGTACGAGTCCACGACATAGCAGACTCATTCGAACCACATGTGAATGCTAAATTGACTTGGAAATGAGTGTACTTGTCGAGACTTGTCCAATTCGTGTTCGAGTACAACATGAGAGCGATAGGAACTCGGAGACCGCGCTTGCCTAATGGGCCCTGGGAAGGTCAAAGCTGTTGGAGTCCAGTTTGGGATTATTCAGCAATCCAACAATAAAGGAAGCGCGTCCTACAAATTTATTTTGTTGTTTTTTTGCTACCCATCCACAGAGTTGAACACCCTACTGTACGAGTCACCGTGCCTTTCGCCTCCTACTGCATCTGTAGAATCTCAAGAGACCAAGTTGGTTTGGAATCTGCGGGACCTATCTAGCCCAATGAGCTTATTCATATTTGAAGGTCGTTCAGAAGCGGAACATTTGGTAGCACTGTTTATTATCGCAACGGATGGATTTGGGTCAGGACATACTGTGGCGTAGTTTGATTAACCAGGTGATAGCTGACGAAAAGAACGCCAAAAAAATCAACAAGGTGCTGAAGTGTATTCCAAATGCAGATCGCAATTTGGCTTCAAAGGAAAAAGCGTTAGAAGTACTGAGATCTGCGGGAATCATCGATTCAATACTTCACGTGGTTCTACCAAACGTTCCAAGCGCCAAAGAAGTTAATACACCGGAATTTGAAACAATCCACAGTGGAAAAACATCTTTTTCGAATGGCATTTGTGATGTAGAGCAGAAACCACCATTCACTGTTGGGCTTGTTGTGGAAATATTCAGAGGCACTGCCTTCATAGAACACATAGGGAGTTACAGGGATTATATTCTTGAAGAAAAAGGACAGGTTAAATCAGCTGTTATTATTCATCTTGCTTGTGGACGTTACCGTGACTGCTCGAAACCGGCGCCTTTCACAAGCGAAGTTAACTTTGGAGAGGAGTTTTGCCTTCCATTGACGACAGATACCGAAGTAAGTTCAGAGATAATGAACCATTCATCATGACAAGTCTATCAGTTTCTCTAGCGCACTTTCACCCGTAGAAAAAGGACCATTTCTACAATTCATCCTTTTTATATTCGCGCTCATTAAACCGAACTTCTTACTCTCCACTTCTTCAGTTGGGCTTCCGCAGCCTTCCAGCATATGGGCGTATCGCTTCTTTACAATCCAATTTGTCAATGCCTTTGTAATGAGGGGGTTAAAAAGTTCATTTCAATTTATAGACGAATATAAGCAGAAGCTGTTCAGGTTGCATTAACTCTAAGTAGGAGATTACCCTCCCAAGTTGCGATATAACGCCGTAGATATGTGAACTGCTTGAAATTTTTAACCCGAACGATATCCGAGTTCCCCAACTTAATCTGGCTGTCCGAAACCCTACAGGATCCCCTCATTTGGCTTTAAAACTGTTGAATGTAAGGACGAAAGTGCAGTTGGTGCACGTCGATGGGCTAATGTGACAGGCATTTCAAGACAATATGATAACCCCACCTCGCCGAGAACACCCAAAGATTCTTTAATTTTCTTCCTAGCCCTGTAGAAAAATGGGTATAGTTTTTCAGGGTTTGCGAATCAAAAGCTTTACGACTTGGTGAGAGAGTACCGTTGGGTTTGAGTCGGCATAATCTAGAAGTAGGGTTTTCGATAAACGAAACGCCATGGTGACAATCGAAACCTATTTTCCAAATTATCGCAGTGGCCAGTCGATGAGTCATTCGGCCCTGGGGGTCCCAAAAAAACACCGCTCCAGTGTCCAGCTGCCATGCTACCCAAAGGAAGCACGAGGGCCTGCAATATTGCCAGGTTGCCCGAGCCTAAACAGGGGCAGTTGAGAGGCAGAGGTCGGGTTTAAACCACGGACCCTCCGGTGAGTAAATTCGCGCTCCAACCACTTGGGCCATCTGCCCCCCAGTTCTGCTCTTATTATGAAGCCATGCTTGAGAGGACCTGAGGGGTGTTGTTAGCCCAGTGACCACTGTCAAAGCTTTGATGGGTTTTATAAGCTTAGGATGAAATTTGTCAGTCATGCTGCTCATCTGGGTATGACAAGCTTTAGCACGCATGCTATAATGATCGAATTCATTAAGTTTCTGAGGCTGTCAAACTGTGAACCTTTGAGGCTGCTAGTGTTTTCGGCGCCGCTGTTTGCGAAGGAAACGTCTTATGAAGAAATGGACAGTAACTATTGTATTGAGAAGGTTTAATTCATCAACATAGCATTGCATGGTCTGTAGCGATCAGACCATAACTCCAGGGGTTGTAAAATGTCCACTAAGCCCATATGCATATGGGTCGGGCCGGAGCTTTTGTGCCACAATGTTGAGGTGCCAAAGTTCTCTTTGGATGCTACGACTAGATGATGGAATTAGTAAAGACTACAAACGACTGATCCCCCAGCGCCTAAACAAAATACGGGTCGGAGCTATAAATAATTGATATTTCACACCCAAATGTGACTTAATAGGTTCCCAGTGGTAGCAAAAGTCTGGAAGAATAAAGTACGAAATCACAAGATCAATGCTGTCCAGTGTTTTAGGACAGCTGTGCCGGAGTCGTTTACGGCTCTGATATTGTTATTAGAATGTTATTATGAATGTGCAAGTATTAGGCTTGGCGCGGCTGGTTCTCAAGTGGCTGGTTAGGTTGGACTGGAATCGAGAGCCACGGGCAACGACAAACGTCCGCTACAGTTATACGCTGAGCACAGACTGTCTCTGTGTTATTGTACCCTACTGGGGCGAGGTGGCCCAAGTGGTTAGAGCGCGAATTTGCTGACCTGAAGGTCAGTAGTTTGAACTCGACCTCCCCTGTCTAGGTTTGGGCAACCTGGCAGTGTTTCAGCCCTCGTGCTTCCTTCTGGTGACATGGAAGTTATGGACCGAAAGAGTGCCACAGCCTAACGATTTTTTTCTTTTACCTTACGTACTAGCTGGAGCTGCATGGCCATCTGTTGCTCCCCGCGTGCCAACCGGGGAGCATTAGTCATTAGTTATATGTGGTGTTAATCAGTAACTGATTGTCGCCGGTTCTGTAGCATCTAGGTGGATCCGGACCATGCGCGCGTTCGTTGCTACTTCTCGTTGCGCTCTGCTCGAAAGATGCGCAAGATATGTCTGGCCATCGAGAGGCTATTGAACCGTGCTATGAGACGAACTTACCGGAACCAACTACTGAGGTCATTTTCATTTCCTGTAAGGTACTGTCCGCAACCCTGCAAGGTGTGGGACTCTCCGCTTGTGGAGAGGCGCAACTAACTAAGATCTAAGCAATGAATTTTGAACAATACTTAAAGTTCTCGAAGCCCGGACAAATATTCCTTCCGGTGGTGACTATAATACCACTCAAAGAATTGTCGACAAGCTTTGTGAGTCCAGAAAGCTGGGAATGTAGAGAACGCAGGGAAATTCGCGTAAAGTATTTCAGCAGATGTGGAAAAAAAGTCCAAAATGCCTCCCATGAACGAAGAAGTCACTAATAAAAAGGCTTTTATGTCCACAGAAAAGATGGACTCCCGAATCGTTGAGCTGAACACTGGCAACAACAACTTTCAGTTGCCCTGTCGGAATCCAGACCCGCAACGCAGTCCTGGGTAGTGGACTTGGAACCCTCGGGCGGCTTCGCAAACAAACGAATGCCTTTTCTTCCCCTAGCGTCACCGAGCTGCTGTTCCTAGTGAACTGCCACCTTCCCTGTTTAGAGATGGAATTAAATCCTCAATTGGTGCTTATCTGATTTGGTTGACTCCGGATGGTGGGAAAATAATGTTCCAGTCCACTGAGGTGGATCCATAGCAGTACTCATTTTCGAAAGACGTGCTGGTACTGAGCGTCAAAGGCAAAGAAGACTTAGCCTGACTTTCATTGCAACCAGACTGTTTTTATCGCTTATTTTACATCGATGAGTGCAAGTAGGATTTTTGATGGGGTGTGTGAATCGCGTCCTCATACTTCGTCAAGTGTCGAAGGAATGAAATGTATATAGGTGATCTTACGGCGTCAGAATGGTTTATCCCTGAATCTGAAGGGACGTGTGTATCAAGCTACAGTACGGGCTGTTTTGTTGTATGGCTGTGAGACTTGGCCTATTCGAGCAGCGGACCTGAGACGTCTTCAGGTGTTCGACAATCGTTGTCTCAGAACCATAGCTCGCGTGGGTTTGCGTCGGCGAATCCGTAACGAGGCAGTTAGAAAGCGTGTTTTCGGTTGTGCAACGGGTACTTACATTGTAGTATGTGTCTATCACCAAAAGCTGCGTTGGTTGGAACCCGAAATGCATATGCCGAAGAGAGTGCTGTTTTTCATGCTCAATTGGGAGTGGCGTAAACAGAGAGGTGGGCAACCATTGACTTGGCAGAGGAGTATGAAGGAGATCACGAAACGCATGGGTGCTGTCGGTACGACTCGCCTTCGAGGATGGGGACTGCGTGATTCTCACTTTGCCTGGTTGGAGAAACTACAATATATGGCTGCCAACCAATGTCAGTGGCGTTCCTGCTGTCAGTTTCTATCCAGATTGCCTGAGTGAATGTCTGGAGGTGTAGGCACCTCGGAATGATTGTGTTAAGCTAGCACTAAGTCCTTACAATCACATTGTTCCTTGACACCAAATTTCCGTTCGAGTTCGTCAACCGTTTCCGCATGTATAACTGCGTATGCTCCAAAAGTTCGTGAATTTCGTGCCCTGTTTGTATTCCCACACTTGTTGGTGCGTGGAAGTGCATGGGGAGCTTTACAGAAGCTTTCCTATGGGCAGCTGTGCCCTATAAAGATGCCCATTTACACCATTTCAGTGTAACTTTGTCATTAATAAAGTAATGAGGTCAGCGCTAGAAGGTCTCCAAAGCACTGGCATTCAGATCTCTCCAACGGAAAACCTTATAAACGTGGGATATACAGACTGTATTCTTCTCATTTTTTTAAAAAGATCAAGAAATCACTGCGGGTCGGATAGTTTTTGAACATGCCCCTCAGAAGCCAAGGCTGTAATATATCTCGGAAGTTGCGTTCGCTCTGACGTTAATGTGATAGATTGATTCAAAGCAAAGTGTCAAGGGCCAGTTGCGCATTTTCCAATTTGTTCCACTTGTGACCTAAAAAGGGTTTCAGAGGAAGCCTGTATCAGAATTCAGCGCTGGCTGTATTGTTGTACGGCTGCGAGACTTAGCCATTTCGGGTGAAAGATGCGAGATATTTTTGTTTTTTGACTGTCGACACCCCAGAACTATAGGTGAAATCATCCTGAGTCGTTGAATGGAATGGTTAGAAAACGGTTCTTTAGTGAAGTGGACGTTACTTTACTCAGAGTTGATCCGGTTATGCAAATCAAGGTGGCTGATCTGGGCAAGCTGAGTTGTGGCCTGTGCCTAGTTCGGAATAATGGAAATTTCGAGGTTGCCGGAATCTGACTGGCAGAAGAGGGTGAAAGGCCTTACGATTAACTGGGCACCGTTGATGCTGTTCGTCTCCCAGGATGGGTTCTATATGAACCTCTTTATGCTTAGTTAGGTAGAGTGGACGATATTAAGGCAAACCTTTGTCAGTGGCGTTCATGTCATCAGCTTCTATCCGGATTGCCCGGCTGAGTGCTGAATATTTGTGGTAGGTTAGCTCCAGGTTCCCCTCCCTGCCACATTTTTTTCTTTCCACCACAACCCTTCATTCAGGAGAAATGGCATGAATGTGCGGCAGCGAATACGAGTGTTTTTTATGTTTTGCTGTCATTAATGTTGTTGACTGCACCTTATTCTGAATAGAGTGTAAGTTATTTAGTGTAAGCAGCGAGAGGCATAAGACCTTCCGGTCAGATGGCTTACAATCAAACGGCCCAGCGACGTTTGCTTTATGTTTTCTGTCATTAATGTTGTTGACTGCACCTTATTCTGAATAGAGTCTAAGTTATTTAGTGTAAGCAGCGAGAGGCATAAGACCCTCCGGTCAAATGGCTTACAATCAAACGGCCCAGCGACGTTTGCTTGTGCGGTGGGAAGGGGTCGGGGAGGAACATCGGTGGACGCTGACGTAGGTCACAGTGACCGAACGGCATGATCAAAGTTGTTTCCAGAATATTCCCACTTGTCCCTAGCTCAGTCCTCGAGAATGCACCATTTGGGTCAACCGTGATGTCTTCTGGTAGCGGTCTGGGATGATGTTGATGAGTGTTCGGTAACCTCCCAGCAGACGCAGAGTTTTAGACTTCTATGGGGCACTATGCAGGGGCGGGTCTCATGAATTGTTAGAAGGTTAGGACACACTGAGTTCGAACATATGTCCAGTCCCGGCTCAGCTGCAAGGCAGGTGTCATTTACAATGACCGACGAACCCCTCCGTTCATTATCACGTTACCTACCGCGGATATCGAGGGTTGCAACACTACTAGAGAGTCGTTTTGCCATATCTTGACCAATTTTTCAGTGGGCACAGTAGTGATTAGAGCCTCATCCACTAAAATTACTCTTGCAGCTTTCTGTTCGCTACCTTCTATGGGCTGATACCGTTTGATCTCCACAAGGAGGTCGAAGTGGATAGGAATATTGCTCATCGTCATTATCAACTGTAAAATCCGCATACTAACTGGTAGCGATGATGACGCCAGCGGTAAAAAATACCAGTCATGTTGAAAGAAATCAAACGCTGGTCATATCCATTATCGGCGCTATCATTCGCTGCTAGCAAGCTCCATGTTATAGCATCTCGGTTGTTGTATAGATCGAGAGTACTTGCGTTTACCTCTGAGCCGGCATCCACGAAGCGGATACTCCACTGGCGCGATCGTTGACAGAACACGTGATTAAATGGCGAGTAAATTAGTTGCCGTTATGCATTGGCCTTCCCTTCATCGAAGAGGTGAAGTGGGCGAGATGTTTGGAATGTGGCTCCAAATGTCTGACATTAGCCACGTACGAAGTCAATCCGAGAGGGCTAGGTGAATTCAATCGGTCAATAAGCGCGAGATATATGCCGAAAAAGCCTCACAGGCTTGATGAGGTTGATTGAGCTTCGAAAAACTTCTGTTGACCGGGAGCAGTGCAATTTCCTAATTTGGTGGCTTTCTTTTTTGGAAAAATTTGTCGTTTCGCGCACGCACCAAAACACCGGATGAGTGTTCGCCCCAGCCTTTCGTATGGAGCGTCAACTTTGGATGCATCCCTCAGAAATGTGCGGTGACAGTGCTGACACAACTTTATGGTGGCTAGGCGCTTGAACTTGCCTTGCGGCTGCTAGAACCTAGATTATGTATTAGTGTTGTGGCACACCGCAGTGAGATTAGCTAAAGCACTCACAGGCTCTGTTATGGGCTGTAAAACGTCCCCGATGGGTTTCAGGTTTTCACCCGACAGTTTTTAACATGGTGTGACGAGGTGAGGAGAATGCCTATTCCATTGGTGGTCTTAGACGGCGAACTGCTTTGTTTGCAAACATAGTAGCGTGATCGTAATTGACAGCAATACACCGGAAAAGGGAGGAAAGAAAGTTAAAAGAAAGGGGCTCAGTGAAGATAGCCTATGTCCATGGCAGACGGTCATGAATAAGGTAGCCGTACCTTGAAACAGCATTAAGGTGTACGCATCTGAACATCTGAAGTAGGTTAGCAACAATGAGATTGTTGGGGCGCGAATCTGAGAGGTCCGTGGTTTGAACCCACCCCCAACATCTCGACTCTTTCTGTCTAGGCTTGGGCAACCTAGCAGTATCCCATCCGTCGTGCTTTCTTCGGGTGGCTAGGCATCGAAAGGGTATTGTAGCTGAACGATTGTTTTTTATTAGTGGGATTGTTGGTGGTATAACGAGATTCGGGAACTTTCGGTTGAGATTCCACCCTGTAATTGAGTTGAGTTTGTGCTAAAAGCCTAAATGCACTGGGAGTCATGAGGAGTTCGTATCTAACGTAGCACTGAAGACTTTTGAACTCGCGATCTCGTGGCCAGACACTAACTGCACAGTTATTCGGCTTTTGGGGGCGACTCCAGGTGGCACAACCTCGTCCATTCCATCTGAATCCGGTACTGTGTTCTTCGGGTGCTAGGCATCGAAAGGGTATTGTAGCTGAACGATTGTTTTTTATTAGTGGGATTGTTGGTGGTATAACGAGATTCGGGAACTTTCGGTTGAGATTCCACCCTGTAATTGAGTTGAGTTTGTGCTAAAAGCCTAAATGCACTGGGAGTCATGAGGAGTTCGTATCTAACGTAGCACTGAAGACTTTTGAACTCGCGATCTCGTGGCCAGACACTAACTGCACAGTTATTCGGCTTTTGGGGGCGACTCCAGGTGGCACAACCTCGTCCATTCCATCTGAATCCGGTACTGTGGAGCAACAGCTGATGGTCAGTGCAGAATTTCAAAATACCTTCATTGTCCGCAATACATCTCGAGTCTAAATATAGCCTGTCACCATTAACTGAGTCGCTCTGCTTCCCCATTGAATTCTCTTGTGGTTAGGACTATATCATAACTCTTCGTGGTGGACAAGAGAGTGGTTATTTCTGGATAAAAAGTATTTTGTTTGCCAAATCCCAACTGAAGTTGGTTAGTGCATAAGTGCTGAGAACAGTTTTAGTCCTAACAGAAGTGGACAGATGAACGACACAGAGGCTACTGTTTACAGTTACCCAATCAGGTGAGAACGCCTAGGACCCGAGCGCCATACAAACACCGTCCCAACTAGCTGCACCTGAAGTTCGCGGTCGCTAGTTCTTAAACAGCTGTACTCGTATCACGTTTTCGGGTTTGGGCAACGCAGCAAGTGTCAGTCAACACAAGAGTGGCTTTCTTAAGGGTTCGAGCAATAAGAACTACAATAAAAACAGAACAGGTTCTGAGGAAATCGTAGAGGCAAGTGTGAGCGTTTGTGTGCTATTGGCCACCTCCATAGGAGTCCGAGCCTGTAGCTGAGCTCCACAGAACAGTGCACATCGGATGAGAGCTAAGGGAGAATAATGGAAAATGGACTGTGGTAGAAAGTTGCAAACAGCCCCTTTCCACTCGAACTCTGCAGGTAAGCAAATCGCCCAAACTGCCGGACGGCTCTTCACTCTGACATTTGTCTGATGTACGGCATAACGTCCCTCTCTGTTGTCCGGTCTGTATCACCTAGAAATAGTGTGCCGCTTCCGCCTACCGAATTACCTGTGTAGCCGTGTTTTGTTCAGCTTTCATCGCCCATTTGCGTCCGTCTATTCATCACCATCGTCCATATTCCCCTTAACTCCTTCTTGTTCAGGTTAACCCCACTGTTCATCTTCCTGCTTTTCAGTGTTTTAACCGCATTCAAAATTCGTAGGATCTAGTTAGCTCTGAGGAGCAGTCCACCATGCGTTTCTATTCGAGTCGAACTTATCAGATAGATGTAGCCCCTTGCTGATGTATCTACCCAATGAGTCCCAATCCGAGCGGATTGCCCCTGAGTAGCTGATGTTCGTGCGTTCTGAATTTTCACACAGTCGTCAGCCTTAGTATAGTAAAATAGACACATTCTGATCGTGTTACCTTCCGTCTTAAGATCCAAACTGCATAACCAGAAGAATTATTAGTTAGAAATAATTTTTAACTACTTGGCTACTTTCAAGTAGTCACATTTGTTGACCAATCCCGTCGCACGGACCTGAAACGAAACATCACAGTGGATATCATATGCTATTGACGCAGACGACTGGCAACGTGAGGACTGGCCATAAACTGTCCTTACACATTAGGAAACTCGCTCACCGTTTTGGCGACGAGATGGTTCAGTTGCTAGAGCGCCAATTTACTGATCGGAAGGTCCGTGGTTCGAACCCGACCTCGATATCTCGACTTTCCCTGTCCAGACTTGGACAACCTGGCAGTATCCCACCCCTGTTGCTTCCTTCAGGTGGCACGGCACCTAGGCACCGAAAGGGTGATACAGCTGAATGATTTTTGACTGGTTCGGTGGTAGTTTAGAACACAAGTAGCATTTATTGCAACCTGACGCGAGTAAAATACGGATTGAAGCTGAAGCGCGGAATAAATCAATGCACCACACATCGTTATTTACCTAGCCATCTGAAAATGACATCATTTTCGCCACCATATTAGATACTTCTTGTGATTTTATTCGGGTTTAGAAATTCGTTTCGAGGATTAACTACCTTTGCATAGGGACGCCAGGTTGACCAGCACGTTTCAGTCTTCCATCCCAGAGGGGATAAAATACCCCACAGTATGCTCACAGACACCGTTTAAGACACTCACACACAACTAATAGTTCATTTAAAAAACGTGCGGCGAAGTTTTGATACTCCCCCATTAGGACGATGTTTTCTCGAGGAATGTACAATGCGAGTTGCTTAGGGCCTCTTTACATCTGATATCACGAAGTTTTTTTCCATCGGCCTTTCACAGGACAATCGATCCGCCGGGCCTCAACAAATTCTACTCGAAAACTCCACTTCAGCACATCATTTACACATAGTCGTTGTTTCGAGAGAATTTGATACTGGCCGTACAAACCTGGTGGCCTCAACTGTGCTCGACTGGCGGCGGCACTTGTTTCACGGTACTAATTCCGCCCAGACGGCCGGAGAGCAACCATGGACTGCGTTTTTTCCGCTGGAGCTGAAAAGCGTGGATCCGGACTCGAAGGTTAGCAGTTCCTGGTCCCCGTTGTGCATTCACTGTCTTGGTGTTGATCGGAAACGAATTTTCTCATTTCTCATGTTGATCCATCCCCGGCATCCTCTTTGCAAAGGTCACCTCTGAGATACAGCCTCCCTCCGTTTTGAGATGTGGCCCACTTTCCTGTCGATTTGACTTTTATGGTTTGTGTGTGTGTGTGAACTTTCAACGTTCGATGTGCAGTTCTGGCTATTTTATTCCCCCTAAAATAACTCGGAAATTAGGGACACCGCCTGCGCCCCCATTGACTGGCAGTAAGTGGGACTGTAATGCACGCAGGTAGGACCCAACTACTTCCTCTCCGATCCGACTGTATCTACCTACAATTTAATATGACTGGGTTAGAGGTTCTGATAAACCAGGGGAGCTACAATGACAGTAGATTAGATGGTCTTGAGATAGCCCACTGGTTACTGGCTGAAAGGTGCTTGGTTCGAATCCACTAATCAATGCCTCAGACGTTTGTGAACATGATAAGGTCTTTGCACTCTCCTATTTCCGGGCGTTCGAGAGCACTCCAAAAGTTTCCGTACACAAAGCGGTGTCCGTCAGGGGTAGCCACTCTCTCTCCATTCCCATTTGATTTCGTGATCAATAAAGTAATGAGACGAACGTTGGAAGGTCTCCAAAACCCCGGTGTTCCAATGGCCTCCGACGAAAACCTTGTTGATATGGGATATGCAGAGTACATCGTTTTCGTCTTCGAAAGGGAGGAGATGAACTAACCAAAATCCCTTTGTGTGTATTTTGCACTCACTCCCGGGCATGCAGTCACTGAAAACACTACTTACAATCCAGGGAGAGATACTGGAAGTTGTGGAACGTTTTACGTACCTTAAAAGTTTTATTAGTTCCAACTTTAGTGTGACGGATGAGGTCAATAGACGAATATGCAAGGCTCGGGTCGCGTTTGCTAATTTGAGACACCTATGGCGTCAGAACGGTTTATCCCTGAATCTGAAGGGACGTGTGTATCAAGCTACAGTACGGGCCGTTTTGTTGTATGGCTGTGAGACTTGGCCTATTCGAGCAGCGGAACTGAGACGTCTTCAGGTGTTCGACAATCGTTGTCTCAGAACCATAGCTCGCGTGGGTTGATGTTGGTGAATCCGTAACGAGGCAGTTAGAAGGCGAGTTTTTAGTTGTGCAACGGGTACTTCCATTGAAGAATGTGCCCAACACCAAAAGCTACGTTTTTTGGGACATGTTTTGCATATGCCTAACCATCATTTGCCAAACAGAGTGCAGTTTTCCATGCTCAATTCGGAGTGGCGTAAACAGAGAGGTGGCCAACCATTGACTTGGCAGAGGAGTGTGAAGGAGATCACGAAACGCTTGGGTGCTGTCGGTGCTACTCGCCTTCCAGGATGGGGACCGCGTGATTCTCACTGTGCCTGGTTGGAGACACTACAAGATATGGCTGCCAACCGATGTCAGTGGCGTTCTTGTTGTCAGTTTCTATCCAGATTGCCTGAGTGAATGTCTGGAGGTGTAGGCACCTCGGAATGATTGTGGTAAGCTAGCACTAAGTCCCTTCTCCATCCACCTTAATTCTTTTCTTCACAATGAGGCTTTCAAATAAATAATGGTTGCACGGCAATGAAGCATCGGTGTTGAACACGAATGTCATGCTTTCGTTGATGATGATGATACTTCCAACCCAATCTATCGTCCATTCGCAACATCAGTTGTGAGTTTCCAGCTACCGGTTGCAGGGTTCAAGAACGTAGTGTTTGTTCCATCCCAGATGAATCTGATGTCAGTCTTCGTAACCCGTCCTTTCGTTTTTTCTCTCCTTGCACCGCACAAGAGACGAATCAGTGATTGGAGCTTCAATTTGCTATCCGGAAAGCCCATGTTTCGACTCTGACCTTTGTATCTAGACTTCCCCTGTCTAGGCAGTATCCCATCCCTTGTGCTCCGTCGGGTGGTATGGGATTTAAGCACCGAAAGGGTTCTACAGCTGAACGGTGTACCGCACAAAGAAGGGCTAGAAAGAAAACGAAAGTGCATCGAAGGTGAACCATTGATTAGATTTCTTGGATTTTCCTTTATCCTTACGATTATCAAGCATTTGGACTTTGGGACTTTCTTCTCTGTGTCTGCCTCACATGTTGCCGGAACACCTTCCATTTAAGTGCACGCGATCAGCTAGATAAAAAGAATGGGACAGAATGGAAATGTTTTGGAGATAACAGCGTGATCAATAGCGAGTTGATGACGAATCAAACGTTTGTATTTCGATCAGCTCAACTAGCTGTATGCCACATTCTTGTTGTATATCCGTGTCTCCGCAAGACCTATCTTTCAGGTCTCTCAGCTGTAGCACTTTTGATGAATAACTTTCATGTCTTCGCAAGGAAGTACCAGATTGCTTGAGGCTAGACAGGAGCAGTTGTCATGACAGGGTTGGGTTCGAACCCCAAACCTTCCAGTCAGTAAGTTCGCACCTAAACCACTGAGCCTTCTTGAGACCTGGCATCTCCCAAGAACGAAAGTAAACCTATCAGCGCTGAAGGACACTCGTCAAACCAACGAGCTTTCAAAGAGTTTCATTCAAAATTGGATTCAGTTTATTTTTCTCCCCAGATGACGGCCGGTATTCTGGATTTGCGGCTCAGTATTGTTTGGAATTTGCCCGACAGGCTTCCTGACACACAGCCGTCTCCGTCCAGAGGACCAAGGCGGACACCTCCCCCTCCCCTTCCACCCCAGGTTGTTGATGTTCAATTCGCTCTCGAGTCCGCCAGGGCTTCGCAACGCGAACAGAATTTCACCCTCTATGTCCGTCAATGGT